GTCAATGGTAAAACAGGAGTATACCTTGCAAACTCAGCAGGTTGTGCCTGGGAGTTCAGGCTGTACTCTCTGCATTGATTCAAGTCACCACATCCATGACTGCTCCCATGTTGACACATACCTGAAGGCTGGTAGGTTTTCTAGAGGGGCTAGCAGCTGTCTGTGCATGCTGGATGATGCCAAAAGGCAAGACACTAGAGATCATCTTCCTCTTTCTCCCTCTCACCCACATTACAACTCCACCTGCCACCAATGCCACTGCCTCAGACACTTCCACATTCATTTCAAGTAGTACAAATGCCACACATGCCAATGATTTCAACCTGGACATAACCAGTTCAACCATCCCATCCAATGTGCTCTTTCCCCCACTCTTATCAGTGATTATGGTGATGTCTTCAATGCTACTTCCAATGCCAACATGACTGGCTCTCCCACTCCCAAGTATAGGGAATTTTGAAACTTGGTGACTTTCAATATACAGAAGGGGTAATGTTACGATATTAGTCACCCCCTATTCTTTTTCCTATACCTTCCATCTCCTTCCACCCCTTTCCATCTCTTTCCACATTATTCTGTATTGTTTCAGACAGTGACTTGTCACTGGCTCAACCCAGTTCCCTTCTTAGGTAGTCCTACCCAGTCTACCCAGCTTATCCCTCAAAGGCTATGCCTTCTCTTCCCTTCTACCACATTTCAGCCAATGGCCTTATCCCCTCTGCGTAGTCTGTGCACAACCACAGACAGTATATATACCAGTAGTCCTACTGAGTTGTACCTTGGCTTATTCTATTCAATCGTATATTGCATCCCAGACACTTTTGCTCTCTAGGTCTCAGTCACCTTTGATGACTGCTGATATTATTTGATAATTGAGTAAGGCTCATTGTTAACAATGATCGTAGTAAGAAAGGTTAATTGTTACTTAGGTTGAGCACACTAGTGTCACCCTGCATAACACCTCACAGATCACTTCAAGTGACTTCACATGGGTCTGCCCCCTACTCCTGCTCCCATTCCAGCTCCCATCCAACCCTGACCTTGATCCCCAGAAAGACCAGCACCAGCCTAAATTGTAGCTGGAGTCTGCAGAATTAACTGGCCTTTTCAGTATCCACAGAAACCCTTGAGGATTCCATCTTTGCAGGTGCAGAAAACTCTGGGCCTGGTCAACTTCTTCTGGGGACAATTCAGGAAGCTTACACAGGGCCAGATGCAGAACACTGGAAGTCTGCAGTGGAGGAGGAACTCCTAAACCTCAACTCCAATCATGTATATGAAACCATCCTCATTCCAATTCCAGAAGAGCTTACCCCTATAAACTCCAAGCCCATCTTCCACATCAAGCATGACCACACCAGAAATGTGGAATACTACAAAGTTTGAATTGTTACATAGGAATTCACTCAGAAAGAAGGAATCAACTACCAGGAAGTACTTGCCCCTGTGACAAACCTGGATTCCATCCAGACCCTTGTTGCCCTTGCTCCAAAGCACAACCTGGAGCTCAATTAAATGGATGTCTCTGCCACTTATCTAAACAGGTAATTGGAGGAAGAACTTTACCTGCTTCCCCCTGATAGAGTCTCTATCAAACCCAGGTATTGTTGGAAACTCTGACACTCCCTATACAGACTGAAGCAAGCCAGATCAACTTGGAACAAAACCCTGGACAAGAAGTTCAGAGAACTTGGGTTTTCTCACCTTGATGCAGTGACATGCCTCTATGTCTTCCAGAAGGATGTGCAAGTTTGTTTCCTGATTGTTTATGTGGATGACCTATGTACTCCTAGCAGCCTCTTCCAGAAAGTTCATGGACTCTGTTAAGGCCAAACTCTCAGCAGCTTTCAAGATGCACCATCTCAGGGAAGCCAAGTACACCCTTGGAATTGAAATCAATTGGGACCAAAAACTCTGGAACATTTCCCTACCACAGTGTCAGTACTCCAGGACCATCCTAGATTGTGTCAGAATGTCTGCATGCAAGCCCATCTGGACTCTGACCCCAAAAATGATTGGATCCTCCAGGAGATTGTCATTGAGGGCTGGAATTTTCCTATCTTACAATCATTGACTCCTTGATGTACCTCATGCTCAGAGCATGTCTGGATATCACATATGCAGTTGGAACCCTCACCTGGTTTAGTGCTGCACCAAAGCAAATGCACTGAGAAGCAGCAAAATGTGTATTCCAACATATCCAAGCCGCCAAGGACATGGAACTCTGATTTGATGGCTCCAAAATTTCCATGGATATGACATTCAGGGATATTCTGATGCAGGTTGGTCTCAGGATCCTGATAATTCCTGCCCCACCCCCAGATTTCTTTTCCTTAGCAATCAGGGAGCCATTTCCTGGTCTAGCAAGCAACAGAGCATGGTTGCCCTTTTGACCATGGAATTGGAATACATCAGACTTGGCCTTTCTGATCAACACCTTGCATGGCTTCAGAGTTTCTTTGAGGAAATTGGACATCCTCAAAAGAGGTCAACTGTCCTCCACTGTGACAACCAGGCTGTGATCATCCTGAGCTGCAACCCTCAATTCTGGGCATATATCAAGCATATCCAAAGGAAGTATTGTTTCATTCAGGATGACCTTGTTGGAAAAGGAGAAGCTGTTATTCACTATGTTCCTGCAGACAAGATGGTAGTAGATATCCTCACAAAGCCTCTTGTTCAGGAACAGCACTGGAAGTTTGTTCAGGGCATGGGACTACAAATGCACTCAAGTGGGAGTGTGTCATACACCATTTCACAACAGTCAACTCCACCTTTCCTGTCTATGCCAAGTCCGCTCTTCCACCTATGTACAACTCTGCCTTTCCACTTATCTAAGTCTGCTTTTCCACTTATCTTTCTTACCCCTGATTTCTGTACCTCATCCTTCATACTTTGACAGACATCTGACATACATATCTAATAACTCCACCTTCCAATTCACTCCATTCTGACTGGTTCTGACTCCTCCTGACTCATTCCTATCTTTCTAATATCTTTGACCCACATTCCACTCCACTCTGGTACTCTGGTGCCCTCTATGTTTACTTGTCACCATAGTATAAAAACCCTTCTTGTATTTTGTATTTGACAGTTTGAATATCGACTTTGATCACTCCTCTGCTCTGTCCATCTTAAGTTCCTCTCTGAACACTTGAAGCAGGTCTTCTCATTGTCACTCCAACCTCTGACCCCCCCCCCCCTCTTACTACTCTGTTCTGCTGTTGCTCCACTCTGCCACTCCACCCCCACCAAATACCAGACTGAACTCGGACAAGGGTGCAACACATAAGTTGGAGCCAATGTCTGCTTTGCTCCTCTGACAGCTCTAGACAGCCCAGAGGATCCCAATCTTAACAGAGTGACAAAGTACAGTGAGCTCTGGAATCTGGAAACCAAGAACACAGCTACAGAAACCCAGAAACTTGGTGAAAAGATACTTAGTCCATCCCTGGTGTTAAGAGGTTGGAATAAAGGTGGTGATAAAAAGAAGGGATGCAATAAGTTCAACCTGGGAAGGATTCCAGTGAGAGGGTCTCTAGAAGAGAAGGTAAACTGGCCTCTAGAAATAAAGGGAGTGGTCATAGTGCACTATCTGTGGGTGTTCCATGGTGAACAGACAGACAAAGCATAGCTGTAGTAGCAGAAAGTGTCAGTGTGAAAAGGATAGTGTCTGGAGAGTGTCATTTTCATCTGCTTCTCACATGCATTTGACCTCAAGTCTGTGGTGACAAAAGATAACATTCAAAAGACTGAGTACAGACTTTTATAGTCTGGGCATACCCAAGACAATGCCCAACCAAGTCAAAAAATAAGAAATAAGCATCCATAGCAGACAGACAACACAGAAAGTGGACAATGGGCAATGTCTTGTGAAACAAATACATACATGAATAAAATGTGGCCATAGCCAAGACTTACCAGTGAGTTTGGATGGACAGGGACAGATCCAGGTGGACATAAACTTGTAGATCTGTAATGAAGGATGGCTTCTGTGATGTGCAAGGCACATGTATTGCACAGATATGCACAGATGGCATAGGAACAGGATGGAATTGGAGCAGAAGGTGAATGGGATGAATGGTATTGTTAGGGAGATGCAGTACAATGATAGAGGTGTGGATGGAGGACACTTGTAGGCATAGGGAAGACCACTTCTCTACATTGGAACCCACAGGCCCTGTCCAGAGTCTGTTCAGAACTCATTTGGATTGTCATCCCATCATCCTACCAAGTCCTACCATCACTCCTGAGCTTCCAGGGGTACTTTCAAATGATAGCAAGCATGGTGCCTACTGACAAAATACAGTAAACTCTGGAACTGGAACACTGACTCTGCATATCTGGAATGTCAGAGTTTGTACCTCCACTCTGCCACCAGGCAGAACCCACTCAGAATTCATGTGAAATCCATGTGGACCTTTATCATACATCATCATCCTTTTCTTGTCATCACTCTGGAGCATCACTTCCTTACATCACCTAATCCCATTTCCTCCTTGTTCCTGTTCCTATTCCCCTGATTCTCATTAGTGAGTGCTTCTCTGCCCACTCCACTACATACATATACTTAGTTTTCACTTTGGATTCCTCAGTTGTTCTTTCCCCCTCTTTGGCAGTGGCTGAGGTGAATTTACTTAATACCTATTTACTACTCCTAGCTAATCCCTAGTAGTTTGGGCAATCACTGCCCTCTTATAGTTTTGTCACTTACCATCTAATGCCTACTGATGCTTGAGCTAGGATCTAGTCCCAATGGACTGGTAGCTCAGTTGGAAGAGTGCCACTAAATTTTGTCATGGTAGCAGCAATGTTGTTCTCTAGTGACACTTGAACCAGGTCACTAGGATCAGATTGTTAATTACAGAAAAGTGAAATTGCTCTGCCACAGCAATAGACTGTCAAGCCCCTGTGCTTGGGTGGGAGTGTCAAATGGTATAGCAAGCATGGTGCTTACCATCCAATGCCTACCGATTCTTGAGCTAGGATCTAGTCCCAATGGACCAGTAGCTTAGTTGGAAGAGCTATTAAAATTCTGAGGAAATCCAGAGGGGAGAACAATGAGGATGAGAGCAAAAAAAATTGGGATTGAAGTGCTACTGACACATGTACTATGTTCAGTACGATTAGGTAAGCTACATAGGTACTATGACAAACAAGATTTCCAACAAGAGCACCACTGTACTATCCTAGAGGCCACAGGTTCAATCCCTGTCTAGTCCACTTTTCTGGCAAATTTGGTCAGGTATTTCTATCCTTGTGCTACATCACTTAACTCCCTATTCCACATCCTTTATGTTCCTCAATTTATTCCTAATCTCCTGTCATTCTTAGTGAGAACTGTTCTGCCCATCACAGTACATATATACCTCCTTTTCCCTTTGGATTCCTCAGTCATTCTTTGGCCTCCTTAGGCAGCAACTGAGCCTGGGCAATCCCTGCCCTCTCATTGTTTTTGTCATAACATGCTGTTACAGGCATAGTCACTCTACAGTGATGCCTGTAACAGCATGTCATAGTTTAATAATCTCATCCATGGATGGCACTGTCACAGTGTCACAAGTTGTACTCCTAAAATGGTATATTATTCCAATGTTACATTTGCTTATGTTTCTTGTGTGGGTTCTGTGATGTGAGGCACAGGTAATGCACAGATATGCACAGATAGCATGGTAATGGCATGGAATTGTTGGAGCAGCAACTCACGACAGTTGGAATGTCAACAAGTGTATATGGTACCATCCCATGCTCCCTTATCCCTCAGTCAGTTACACTACTGTACAACTGAGGGTAAGTCTATTTTCCATATACCACACGCCATACATAACTAACATTGTGTAGTTAACAGTGTCTAGGTAATCCTAAGTCAGTTACGCTACTGTACGACTGAGGTTAACAGTGTCTAGCTTTAACAGGAATCAGAGCAGAAAGTGAGAAGGATGGATAGTAATGTTAGGAAGACATGGTATGACATCAGGGCCTGTTTGCAACTCTGGTCCAATGATAGTAGCTGAGTTCTGTGAGGAAATATGGTGTAAACATGAGAACTTTACTGATCTAAGATGTAAATACAATGTATACATCCAATGTCTCCCTCAGGCTACGAGTGTGTTGCAAAAGTGATGTGCTGGTTCTGTAAATGTACATGCCTCATATATCCTGACCATTGACATGTTACATCTCCCCTTGTGTTGTGGACAGTTCGAAACTGGCAGGGCGTTGCCATTCCCCATTGGTAGAGTTGTAGTACTACATGGGGTGCAGGAAAGTGTGTGCGTACAGTGAGATAAATTATGGTTGCTGCATTCGGGAAGAAATTACTTATTCGCCTTCACCACCATCTCCTGTAGCGTGATTGCCCGATACTCATCCCCCTCCGGAGCCCACACCGCATCGTCCTGAACAAACACTAACACCCCTCCCTTCCCACTCGGCCCCGACACTTTGAACAATGGCATCCGCGACGTCTCATGCGCACGACCGGTCGGTACGAACAATAGATTATGCTCTGCAGCAAAATCTTCGACGATGGTGCGGAAGGTGATTTCTTGTACGCGAGAGGGCAATGCTTGACCCTTAGTCCGTGTCTTTCTTGTCCTACCCGCATCATCAACCTGTTCAGCCTTGATGACAGGGCGCTTCAGTTTCGTCGAGGCATCGGCTCCCAACTCAATCGCTTCATTCATCAACTGCAAACCCCTCGTGAATCCCTTCTGAACACCCTTCAAAGCCAATACGTCCTCCCTAAATATACTTTTCCAGAATGCATACCACTGAGCGACCTCTTCAAAGCTCACGCGGGGTTGAATGAGCCAGATATGCAGCACGTCGAGCCATTTAGGGAAGAACTCGGTCTCGAGGAGTTGGCTCATGACCGAGCCTCGCAGGAGAGAAGACCAGGGAAGCACGACTTGTGTAAGGGGCTCCATATCCTGTGCACGAGGGTTTACACGGAATTGGTCCCTTAGGTGAGACGCTAGCTTGGGAACTACGTATTTCAGCAATAAAGCATCCCAATCGGCATTGTCGAAAACGTCCCGCCATACATCGAGGTCTTCGGGCAGGCTATCTGTGGCCACCCAGCTACGAAGAATGGACTTGATTTTCCTACGTGCATCGTCTAGGACGTCTTCGACGCGTAGACCGAGGTGAGGGAGCCAAGGGAATACGAGGGACCGGAGAGAAACGGAGCTGCGTTTGGAGTTCCATTCTGAGACGGCTTTGACGAGTTTGGGTAGAATAAGTTGATCAAGTATGTTATCGCGTACAAATGGGGGGAGGATGGAGGCCCATGTCTCGTAAAGTTTGATTGCTGGTGAGGAATTGGAGGGATCCCACTCGTTATTGATCGATGTCCGCACTTTAGGGAGCCAGACGTTCCAGAGGAGAGACTCGAAAGGTGTCATGGGTTTCTCGATGATTGGGGGTGGTGCGATGGTTCGAGTGCCGTATACGTCAACTTGGGTTTCCGGGGGCTGTTCGACGAGGTTAACTTTCAGAGCTTGTTTCCAAGTGCGGAACGTAGAGACGAGGGCAGAAGGGTCTTGAAGAGGGTTCCATTGTGCCACTATACGTCGGACTGTCGGCGCGATGGCTGCGACGACAATCTCATCTAGCTGGTACCTATCGAATTCCGTGGGGAATTGAACAAGCAGCCTAGAAAACAGTGGCGAGAAGCCGTCCAGAGTAGCCTCGTATGTCGAGGCTAGCTCCTTAGACTTGGCGTTTATCTCGTCCACCACGAGCGTCACTTGTTGAAGTCGCGAGATTACTGCACGAAGACTTCGGTCAGACAGTCCGCTCAACTCAAGTGTACTCAAACACATACGTTCGGCCTCGTCCGCAACCTTCTTCTGTAACCGAACATTCTCTTGAGCAATAAAACGCTTGCGTCCTTCGAGGGCCTTGGCTTCACGTGCAAGGCCGTCAAGATCTGTCTTGCAAGCCTCTGCGACGAGTCGGATGTTGTGCCGGACCTCTGGTATTCGAGTGGGGTCCGTTGATGGTGTCCACGCCGCCATGGAAATCTCGGCTAATGATGCCACCTCCCGTGGCTAAGGGCAAATAAATCAACGACAGAAACAGTAGAGACGCCTTAATACTTACTGTCCGACCCGTTGCATCAATTATTTGTCCAAGGCTCGACGCCGAGGGTTCTTGTCCAGCTTCTGCTACAATCTGTTCGTATGTCTTGTGCTCCACTTTTGTCTTTATCTTCTTTGGCTTCTTCCACGCATCTGACCGTTTCTCTTTTGCTTCTTTCGCCTTTCTTACAGCAGCAGGAAGCTCCTCGTCATCACTAACAACCTCCCCCCTCCTCCTCGCCTCCAGCTTCGATTGCTCCGTCTTTTCCTTAAACCCCTTATACGCGATACCCACATTCTTCGGTCTCAATTTGCTCTCAATAGGGGTGACGATGCCTTCCCCACTTGCACCTAGACCGGTGCCAGCTTGCCACCCCATCTTGGCGAGCATTTGGGCACCAATAGTGCTTCCTATCTTTTGGAAGTGAGCCTGCTCATGAGCGGGGAGTGGAGTGTTGCGTTGCGAAGTGGGGCCAGAGGAAGGGTTGCTGCGAAGGAAGGCACGCTGTGTGCGGGGGACGGCACCGAAGGAGGTGGGGAGGTTGGAGATGGCAAAGGCACTGGGGGCTGGCTTTGTGGGGGAGGGGGCGACAATGGTTGGTTGCGATGGTGCAGTGTCCATAGCGGTTATGGTCGCAGTGGCCGTCGTAGTAGTAGCTGTGGTCGTATCAAGGGTACTCGATGAAATCACACCTTTGGTGAACCCAATGGTGTCCCCCGGACCTCTTGCGAAGGAGGACGATCCGATACCCCTTTTTCCTGATCCTATGCCACCTTTAGTGAATGCAGAGAAGCAATGGGAAGATTCAGCAGTTGCTGCATGTGCCGAACCTATACCGCCAAACCTTGGTCTAAGTCGCGGTTCCTGTTCCTGTTCCTCTACCTCGCGGATACGAGGGGAAGACGGTCGGGAGGGTTCAGAGCTTGTGTGGTCCTCCGAGTCTCCATTCTCGTTGTCTGATTCTGCTTCCTCTGCTTCTTCGCCCTGGACCTCTTCCGCTGAACTGTCCTCGACCTCCGCATCCTCAGCTGCCTCCAAGTCAGAATCCGTCTCCTTTTCCCAGTCGACTTTCTTCCCCAACACGAATGCAGGTGCCTTTGTCCAGTCGCGTCGCTCGCGCCTTACACCACCCTTTATGCCATCCCCCATCTCATCACTATCCTCCCCAAATACCCCATAGACAGCGTCCTCTTTCTCGCTCTTTCGCCTCTTCTTGCGCTGGTAAGGATCCTCGAAAAGTGCACGTTCATCTCTGGCGTCTGGATCGTTGTCATGAAAATCGGCTTCCGAGCCTTGAGCATCAGAGTCCGAATCACTGTCGTCGAGGAATTGTCGTTTTCTGCGACCCATGATGATATTAGTGGTAGTGGTAGAAGTGATCAAGGAATGACGGGAACGTTTATCGATTTGTGTTTATCTTGGAAGCGGCTCAAGGAGTCGAGGACCGTCGGACACCATTTGCATGCAGTAATAAAAATCAGACAAAAACATCGGGCCTGGCCGGGAATTGAACCCGGGACCTCCTCGATATTAGGAAGCCCTAACAAGGAATCATACTACTAGACCACCAGGCCGATGGTGGATAAGTTGCTATGTAACATTATATAATCACTTAGCTTTATGGACCGCACTGACGCGTCCTCCCTTCGCGCAAGTACATAGCAGTGGTCGCTACCAACCACCACCATGGACGCGCAAGCTTCGACATCGTCAGGCGCAATGGACCAACGGAGAAAGGACGCTCTCAAAGCTTACCGCGAGGTACGTGTCATTTAGCCGTTGCTGCGCTTGCGTTTCTGATGTTGCCCCACAGAAAATGCGGACCCATGACAATATTAGCCAGAGCTTGAAGAATCGTCAGTCGATGATGCACGCGTTTCCATTGGCTTCTAGGCTCACTCATGAATGTCTGCAGTGCGATTCTCGTTGAAAGACCTCGAGAAGAGCTTTGCACAAACCGAGAACGACATCAAGGCCATCCAGTCGGTCGGCCAGATCATCGGTGAAGTTATGAAGCAACTAGACGATGAAAGATGTACGATCATCTGCTCCCTCATCCCATGACTTCTTCTCATACATAGATCTCCCCAGTTATCGTCAAAGCATCTTCTGGTCCCCGATACGTTGTTTCATACCGC